GCATTCCTGAGCTCTAGGAGCTGGCTTGGCTATTACTTTGGAAGGAGGGGTCTTCCTACCCTGGGCCAGCACCTTGAGGTGCCAGGTGGGGACATGCTCACTTTGAGTGCCTACATGAAGAACAGACCCCAAGATCACACTCAGGTCTCCTCCTGATGGGAGCTATGGTGGCATTTAGGAGAGGAAATGGAAAGAGAACTCAGGGAAGAGCTGTTCGTGTGTTTTCAAGATATGGGGTGATAACTGTGGGGAGCCCCACCTGGCAGGTCATGCTCCCATGTGGCCATGATGCTGTGCCTGGAAGGATGTTCCCATGCAGTGACCCTGGCCAGTTTGTTTTGTTCTCGACAAGCTCTTTGAATGATGCAGCTCATATTAGGAGGTCAAGGCCAGACATCTCCCTTCTGCTCCGGCTGGGGAGCCCCAGGCCAGCTCGGCTCTGCACCAGGGGGCCCACACTTCCTCAGGAGGCCCACTGTCAAGTACACCTTCCCAGGTATCTTAGCTATGAGCCTTTCTCCTTCGCTGGCATCCCTGTGTGACTATCACATTCTTAGCCTGGAGGGGGTCATGAGAGGAGACTATGGGTCAGGTCTCTTGGCCTAGACCAGGGCCCTGGAGTCTCAGCTCTGCCTGGCATATGTGTGTTCTCAGGTCCCTGGTGAGTGAGATCCTTTCTTGGGTGGGTGCCTGTCTTTGTCCTGTGTCCCACAGTGACCATACTCCCTGGACACAGAGATAGGCCTTGCCCCCAGCTCCCGACATGCCAGCCCTGAGGGCATCAGATTGAGGGCCTGTGTCCTCCTACAGCAGCCTCTGGTCCCAACCGGGAAGGACAGGAGAAAGCTGAGAATGCCTCTGAGCAGTGGCTGCATCCCTAGCCTAGGCTTGGGCAGCCTAAGGGTCCCTGTGGTGTGATGTCGTGTGAGCCTGTTTGCATGATGACACCAACAACCTTGGAGGCGAACAGGAGGGGCTCATCTGAGTGTGGGTTCCTAAGGCGTAGCCACGTCAGGCTCAGCACGGCAAGAATGAATTAATGAACAAATGAAGTGCACCACCGCTGATTTGGGGATTTCAGAGCAGCAGTGACGCTGGTGGAGGACTGGGTGGGCTGCTGTGTGAGCTTTTCACTCAGCCCTTGATTGTGGCCACAGATGGGAGGCCAGGGAAGGCCACGCCTACCAGGATCCCGGGTAGCAGCCCAGCTGGCCACCCCATAGGGTCCATAGAACACCCGACTCAGCAGGGAATTGCCATCCTGACACACCTGGGAAAGACTTCAGTGGGACTAGAGTGTAGAAGTGTCCACTTAGAACCCGTGATGGCCAACTGGACCAGGGAAAGGATATGTGGAGTTCAGTTCATCTTTCTACTATTTCCTGGTATAGACAACACAGATGAATGTCTGGGCCTAACTTGCTCTTCTTTTTCTGTAATGGGGAGAAATCTTCAAGGGAAATATCTGGCTGGAGCCCACATGTTCGCTTCTCTGGGGTTGGACTGTGGGGTGGGACCCAGCACAGGTGTGGGTGGGCTACACCCCTGCCCCATGCACAGGCTGTGGGCATCTTCAGGAGCACCTCCACTGAGGCGGTGATGGTTGGAATGTGTGGCCAGGAGTACAGTGGCCTGTGGCTGC